TATGAACCTAAAAGTTAATTATGCAATTTAAGCAAATGCCGTTATATATGTGCTAATATACATGCAAATGCAAACAATATGTATAGTAACAGTACAAGGGGTCAGTGATATCATGATGCAATTGTATCGACAAAGTTTTTTGGAAAAAGTCACTGAAGCTGCATTTATTTGATAAAAAAATACAGTAATATTTTGAAATATTATTACCTTTTAAAATAACTCTTTTCTGTATGAATATATTTTAAAATGTAATTTATTCCAGTGATCAAAGCTTAATTTTCAGTATCATTACTCCAGTCTTCAGTGTCACATGATTCTTCAGAAATCATTCTAATATGCTGATTTGCTGCTTAAGAAACATTTCTTATTATCACCAATGTGGAGAATGGTTAATATTTGCTTAGTGATGCATTTCTTTAGAAAGTTCAAAAGAACAGCATTCCTTTGAAATTATAAATGTCTTTACTGACACTTTTGATGAATTTTACACTTGCTTGCTCAATGAAATCTTTCAGTTTTATTTGTATTTTTACTTGTAGAAAATGGGTTCAGTTGGTTCAGTGTATGAACCTAAAAGTTAATTATGCAATTTAAGCAAATGCCGTTATATATGTGCTAATATACAAGCAAAAATGCAAACAATATGTATAGTAACAGTACAAGGGGTCAGTGATATCATGATGCAATTGTATCGACAAAGTTTTTTGGAAAAAGTCACTGAAGCTGCATTTATTTGATAAAAAAATACAGTAATATTTTGAAATATTATTACCTTTTAAAATAACTCTTTTCTGTATGAATATATTTTAAAATGTAATTTATTCCAGTGATCAAAGCTTAATTTTCAGTATCATTACTCCAGTCTTCAGTGTCACATGATTCTTCAGAAATCATTCTAATATGCTGATTTGCTGCTTAAGAAACATTTCTTATTATCACCAATGTGGAGAATGGTTAATATTTGCTTAGTGATGCATTTCTTTAGAAAGTTCAAAAGAACAGCATTCCTTTGAAATTATAAATGTCTTTACTGACACTTTTGATGAATTTTACACTTGCTTGCTCAATGAAAATATTCAGTTCTTTAGAAAAAAAAACCTTTTCAACAGTAGTGTATAGGCTTGCCGCTATAGACGGTGCTGACAGTGATACCGGTGTTAAGCCGCAACACCGGTTATGTCACCAGTGAATGGTGGTCGAGATTTTAAAGCCCAAAAAAGTGCATTCATCCATCTTAAAAAGTGCTCCACACAGCTCTGTGGGGTGAATAAATGCCTTCTGAAGTGAATCTGAATTCTGAAGTGAATCAATGCATTTGTGTAAGAAAAATATCCATATCTAAAACTTTATAAACCGTAGTCTCAACCCCACTTTCTCGTGTACGTGCGAACGACAGTTAACGGAAGCTAGAGATTATGGCTTATAAAGTTTTAAATATGGATATTTTTCTTACACAAATGTACTGCTTCACTTCAGAAGGCCTTTATTAACCCCCTGGAGCCGTGTGGAGTACTTTTTATGATGGATGGATGCACTTTATTGTGCTTCAAAATCTTGACCACCATTCACTGCTATTAATAAAGGACATTTTTTAATTGTTAACATTTTTAACTCCGATTGTATTCGTCTGAAAGAAGAAAGTCATATACACCTAGGATGGCTTGAGGGCGAGTAAATCATGGGCTAATTTTCATTTTTGGGTGAACTATGCCTTTTGATAAATAGAAAGTTCAAAACAACAGCATTTGTTTGAAATAAAAATCTTTTGTAGCATTATGAATGCCTTCACCATCACTTTTGATCAATTTAATGCATTCTTGCTGAATAAGTGTACTTCTTTTGAACTAGCATAAGATAATATATTTTATTTATATATTTAAAAAATAGCTCCACTCTCTGCACTGTATAGTTGAACTACAGTACTGCTACTACAGGTAGCTTGTATCTATGTCAAATTAGCTTCTCAAACCCTGATATTTACTGCATACTGCAAAAAAAAACAGCATGGATAACATGCCACTCGGAATAATATGCAGCGGTTTTATCTTATTCCAAACATCTCTTCTCTCTCTGACCCCCCACACTGTCCGTACCCCTTCATCTTCTCCTTGAGAGCAGGCAAATACAGGGCAGGATAAAGCCCAGGCCTCTGGCAAAGACCCAACAGAGAGAGCGGAATGTCAGCGGCGGAATTCGCAAGAGCCTGGAAAACAACAAAAGAAGAGAGATGCTCAAAAAAAGCCCTACATAGCAATTCCAACCGTACTTTATGTAGTCCTGAATACTGATTCAGCCTCTTCTGTGGAGCTGCTCTTTTATTCGTCCGTTTCAGAATGCGCTGTGGTGTTTACAGTGTGGCGGCAATAGAAGACGAGCTAAGAGCGACCTGAACCCCAGGAAGTCGGGGGTTAAAATAAGGTTAAGAGAATTAGATGCTTTGTTCGGTTAGATATTAATGGATTTGTTGTCACTGGCTTGGCAGCACATCCACAATTAAACACTCCTATTGATGGCCCTGAGGCCGAGTGTTAAGTAAATCTCCGCTAGCCTTCTTTTCTTTGAGACACCCGGCTTTACGCTCAATAACCGGTGAAAGGGAAGACATGCTTGCTCGTACGATTATTCTGAATATGGCGTGATTTGAATGCAGCGAGGAAGCGGCTCATGGCGGGCTTTTGAGAGCGAGTGTCGTCAGGAAAGAGCCAGACGAAAGACAGGTTTTAACAGGAAACGACAGACAATTGGGGGCCATTTCCAAATGCGCGTCTTTAGAAGGAGAATGAAATGCTAGTTTGTTCTGTGTGTTATCTTGAAAGGGCTTCCTGAAGGACTTATTTTGTTTGGCACTGATTGGTCTGCTGTTAAGGAATGCTAACAATAAACCAGAGGTCGAATCTTATTCTTTGGTAGAAATCACTTGGGTGTCCACCTGTATGTTATGTTTTATTGGTTGTTAATCATTTAGCAGGCACTTTTTATCCAAAGCCAATTACAACGGCTTATGGTTGTTTGGGAAGCTGAAATATAATATGGTTATTTCCAACAGGTCATGTGTCTAGGCTAAGTTTGCATGCTCAGTCCCAAAAGTTCAGTGTTACTTTAATTTATGTACCATATTATTTTGAATTAGCTTTTATTTTTAGATTTTTAATTTTAATATTTTACAAATTTTGTTACATGCTTTTCTTATTTTTATTTTCATTTTTTAATATTTCAATTTAGCTTTATTTTAATTTGAGCAATTTTAGTACTTCAACTTAAACTCATTTTAAACTTGTTTTTAAACTTGTTTTTAGTTTTAGTAATTATTATAAATATAATTATTAAATATAATTATTTTTAGTAATTATAATATTTAGTAATAATTATTATTTTATTTTAGTTTTAGTATTTTGCTATGTGCTTTTGTCAATTTTATACGTTTATTTCCATATAGCTTTAAATTGTTTTCATTTTAGTTTTAGTAATTTTAGTACGTTTTATTTTATTTCAGTAGTTTTCAAGTTAACATTTCAATTATTATTATTATTAATATATTTTATTCTCAGAACTAAAGCAAAGCTAATGACTCACAGTTTGTGGTTTGCTTGATCCAAACTAATTGTTTTGACAACTTATGTATTTTGTTTCCAACTAGTGCTAACAAAGATGGTATGAGAATTTCTACATCCTTTTTGGTCTTGGAAGGCTGGAACACATTTATCATTTATATACTAATAGCATTTATTCATATTTTGTTAATATTATTTGTTTTTACATTTTCCGTTTTCATTTTAGTTTTTATTTAAATTTTTTAGTAATTTTGTTTTGTGCTTCTGTCATTTCATCAGTTTTTCTTATTTTTAACTTAATTTTAGTTTCAACTAATTTAGTTTTTTGCTTTTGTCATTTTATTAATTTGTAAACTTTATTTTTCATCTTAAATTTAGTTTGTTTTGTGCTTCTGTGGTTTTTTTTTTGTTGTTGTTGTTTTTTTTTGTGCTTATTTTTCTTATTTTTAGTATAAATTAATTTTTTGTGCTTTTGTCATTTTTTGTTCGTTTTTTTTTTTATATTTTTGCTTTAATTTTTTTAATTTAAGCTTTAATTTTAGTACTTCAACTTTTTTTATTTCAGTTAGTTGTCAGGGCAATATTTCAAACAATGAACCATTTGTTGTACCAGATCCATCAAAAGATGTTGATCATTTGTTGAACACATTCTCTAAAATTTTTTCCATTGAGACACTTAAGCTAAGGTAAAAATGGCATTAAATTGATCTAAATATAGTTACAAAGAAATTCCAAAGAGTGCTATTTCTAGAAACTCTATTTAAACTTCTTTGACGCAAATCACAAGATCACACAAATGCAGACCATTCCTCTGAACTGTTATTGTCACATATATATAAACACATTGGTTTCCAGGGGGAATATTTTACCGTCACACCACAGGACTTTTCTTTAGTGTATTGGAGATCCGTCGTCAAAACAATTACTCCTGAAACACCCAGTACCTGCTTTCAAGAGTTCAAGAAAAGAGTGCATTAACAGATCTTATCGAACCAATTCTGTCTTTCTTTGTCCACAGTGAGACGCTACTAGGGATTTACAGAGGTTTCTTTGTGTTTGCAATATCTAAACATTACATTTCCTGCGCGTGAATAATGCCCTGTGCTCTGTGTATTGTTTAGGAGCTGTAAAAGAGTGAATGGGGTCCTCTCAGGTGCACAATCACATTATGTTGTCTGGATGCTGCTGAGCTTTCTGTAACGTGGGACTCCATCCTCCGTCCGACCCGGACAAGAGATTGTGTGACCAAAATATTAGTGTCTAGAGACTCTGTGAATGTGTAGGCGTAAAGGTCCAAAGAAAACATTCTTTGAATTCTGGGCGGGTTTTACTGGGGGCTCTGAGCGTCCATGTGGTTTTAATTTAGTTCGTGGAGCCCTCGTAGCCTCTATCTGTTACCGCACAGAGCGCTCACGGTCTGTTTGTGTGTGTTTTCTTAACGTCCCGCAGGTAGAGGAGGGCGGGAAGGCGTCTCAGTTGCAGCACCCCCTGCAGGCCGGAGATGAGGTGGTCGTCATTAATGAGGTGGAGTTGAGCGGATGGAGGCAGGAGGCTATATCTCTTGTTAAAGGATCATACAAAACGCTGCGGCTCACTGTGCGAAGGTAAGACCAAAAGCAGTTCACTTCAATCCCATAATGCTCTGGGGCTGTTATTTGGTTTTTTTATACACTACTGTTCATTTTAGGGTCAGTAAGATTTTTGAAAGAAGTCTCTTCTGCTCACCAAGGCTGCATTTTTTTTTATCAAAGATACTGTAAAAATTGTGAAATATTATTACAGTTTAAAGGGGTCATATGATGTTGCTAAAAAGAACATTATTTTGTGTATTTGGTGTAATTAAATGTTTATGCGGTTTAAAGAGGCATTTGTTGCATCCAGTGGGGACATAATTACGGATTATAATGACTTATACTGTCTTTTTACGCGTTGCGTTGCATCGCGCCGCATAAACATAAAACCATGTCTGCATTTGTGATCAGAGAAATGACAAACAACAAGCCCTACTCTACACTGCTCAAAACTCACGTTTGAATCGTCAGTGGCAAATCCTTACCAATGCAAGATCCTGTGCAACAATGCTACGATGAAGTGGGTGATTGCAGTACAGTTGTACACAGTGCTTTAAAACAAAAAACATTTCTGTGCATTTTCCAGGGGTTTATGGCATTGCTAGGCGTTTTGCAACTATTTATAGAACTTTAATTACATTTCAGTTTGCAATAGAAACATCTCTACAGTGTTCAATCAGTAAGATTTTTCAAAAAATCTGAAAAATATACCAGTTGTTTCCACAAAAATGTGAAGCTCCACAACTGTTTTCAGCATGGATGATAATCAGAAATGTTTCCTGAGCAGCAAATCAGCATATTAGAATGATTTCTGAAGGATCATGTGACACTGAAGACTGGAGTAATGATGCTGAAAATTCAGCTTTGCATCACAGGTATTAATTACATTTCATAATATATTTAAATCAAAGATACTGTAAAAATTGTGAAATATTATTACAGTTTAAAGGGGTCATATGATGTTGCTAAAAAGAACATTATTTTGTGTATTTGGTGTAATTAATTACATTTCATAATATATTTAAATGGAAAACAGTTCTTTTAAATTGTAATATTTCAGAATATTACTGATTTTACTGCATTTTTGGTCAAATAAAGAGCAGAAGAGACTCTTTCAAAAACATAAAAAATCTTAATTATTCCAAACTTTTGACTGGTAGTGTATATATGTCTATACACTTTATATAATTCTTTTAGTAGCGTTTTTTGGTGCTGATGCTTAGTCATGATCATGACGACGTGATTTAGGATAAGAAATGCAAACATAGGTCTGTTAGATCTAGGTAATTCTCACTTTATCTCAGCTTTATCAATCAGTCCTTTTTGCTTGGTTTGTTTAGTTTGCATGTGGTCTTGCTTTACTGTGCTGGTCCTGCACAAACTAGCCTGGCACTGCCATTATCAACATGACTGCAGCAGTGTGGACGTGTTTAACACCACTAAAAATAGAAAACGCTTTCCTTCTGATAAAGACACACATACGGGACTGATGCTGTATTACTGTGTGCTGCCATTAGATCCCTGGCCTGTTAACCCGTTAAAAGCGTGAGTTTTGTTTTGAGAGCACACGTGAGCGATGCTGGACACACGATACGGGCCTGAGTTGCAGGTGAAACCGGCAGGTGTGGAGCGTTGCCATGGTGACAGGTGGATGTGTACGCTGAGGCCTCTAGGGGGCGGGGCTGAGCAGAGTTAGTCTCCTGAGAGAATCACACTCAGATATAGGTTACAGAGCACTGGCATCACTGACGACACAAAGACGCCTGTGTTCTCACAGGAGTGAGCAATGCCGAGTGGTTTACAGCATCGCATGTGTTGTGGTTTCAGTGCTGGTACACAATGATCTGTATTAGTTCCGAGCTGCAGTTCTGAAGAACTCTTCAGCTGGATGATTCACATATGATTGTGAAAGCTTTCCAGGGCTAGAAGTGATTCTTTACTTGTCTGTGTTTTGAAAACGTATATATGTTATCTTGTTACATTTTGATATTTATTTTATATGTTGGGAACAATGTTGAAGACTGTTTAAACTGATTTTGTCTATAAAGTCTAGAAAAAAAGAAAAACATTTTTTAAAACAGAACTTTATTTATTTGTATTTGCTGAGACGTGCATCACTATTACTGTTAAGTGGACATTTGAACAAACTCCCGTCCTCTATTTCACTACTGAGCACCTCTTATTTTCTTCAGAAAATGTCTTAATTTTTGTGATTTCAATTTTTGGATTAATTGTAAATCAGTTGTTTAATTAATTGAAAATAAATATTTATTTATTCAGTTATTTTTTATTAATTCATTTATTTACATGCTGTTAGTTCTTAAAATAAAATGCAACTCATATTTTTCTAGATTTCTGTACTATGCCGTTGCAATTATTTTAAGAATTAACAGCATATAAATAAATATTTACTTACTCATTTATTTACATTCTTTTAATTTATGCTTAAAATTCTTTAAATTATTCTTAAAATACAATAAATGCAACCGCGTAGTAAAAAATCTAGAAAATGACAAATTTGCAGTTACAATTATTTTAAGAATTAACAGCATATAAATACATATTTATTTATTCATTTATTTGCATTCTTTTAATTTATGCTTAAAATTCTTTCAATTATTCTTAAAATACAATAAATGCAACTGCGTAGTAAAAAATCTAGAAAATGAAAAATTTGCAGTTACAATTATTTTAAGAATTAACAGCATGTAAATATTTATTTATTCAGTTATTTTTATTTATTCATTTATTTACATTCTTTTCTTAAAAAATTGCATCTGCATAGTCGAGAAATCTTGAAAAATATGAGAAATTTGCAGTTGCATTTTATTTTAAAAACTAAGGGCATGTAAATAAATGAATAAATAAAAATAACTGAATAAAGAAATATTTATTTCTTTATTCTTTATTTTTATTTTAAAATGGGACAATGCACATTAATTAATGTAGGCACTCAAGTCTATTATGTAAATGTGCCAGATTTAGCCATTCAGGCTAATTTTCATTTATTTATTTAATGAATAATTTACATGCCTTTAATTCTTAAAAGAAAGAAACAAATAAATACGCTATGTTTCCAAAGTATTCTCCTTATTTCGAGAGCGAGTGTGAGTCTTTGGCATGGGGCGACAATGACATCAGATACTGCAATTTACACAGTGAGCCTGGATAATGCTCTAATAATGGGAGGCATTGTGTCACACCTGGTTGTGTGAGGACGGTGTTGGTGTCACGTTCACCCAGACTGACTCCAGATCAGAGGTGAAAGAACACGGAGAAATGCGAAAAGAGAGGGATTGCCATTCCCAGGTACAGAGAGGGAAAGAAGGAAACAAGATGTTGGGAGGACATATTGAGGGCAAACTGAAAATGAAGCTACAATCTGATTGGCTGTGTTGTTCAGCATGGTGGGAAACAGCATTGTTTTCAGGGTCATTCCAGGCTTCAGACGAAAAATGACAAATTTCTCATTATTTACACACCCTGATGTGGTTTCAAACCTGTATGATTTTATTCCTTCTGTGGAGGATGAAAGAAGATATTTTGAAGAATGTCTCAGCGTTCTTTGTCCATACAATGAAAGTCAGTGGGTTAAACATTGTTTGGTTTCCAATGTTCTTGAAAATATCTTCTTTTGTGTTTAGCAGAAGAAAGAAAGTCATACAGGTTTGGAAGGTTTTATGGCTGCTTCTGAGTAAAAACTAGTTGATGGATTCAAGGCTGCATTTATTTGATCAGAAATACAGTAAAAACAGTAATATTGTGAAATATTATTACTTTATTTCAAAGAACTGTTTTCTATTGTAATATATTTTAAAATTTAATTTATTCCTGTGATGCAAAGCTGAATTTTCAGCATCATTACTCCAGTCTTCAGTGTCACATGATCCTTCAGAAATCATTCTAATATGCTGATCTGCTGCTCAGGAAACATTTGTGATGTTGAAAACAGCTGTGTCGCTTAATATTTTTCTGGAAACCATGATACATTTTTTTTTTCAGGATAATTTGATGAATAGAAAGCTCAAAGAACAGCATTTATTGGAAATAGACATCTTTTGTTGCAATTTCTTTCGACCAGTTTAATGCATCCTAGCTGAATAGAACTACTAATATCTTTTTTAAAAAACTTTGGAACAATAGTGTATACAGAATACAAGAGTGCTGCCATAAAAGCTTAGCGGTGAAACACTGTCTGGTGAAGGAGGATGTTGATTTACATACAAGTCCAGAGGTCAATCATTGGTGGGAAGGAGGGAAAAAACACAAAAGAAAGCTACACACACTCTTGTTGACTCCAGGTTTCCTTCAGTTCCTTTTCTCGACTCTGTTGAGCCTCGTGTAATCTCTCTTGCCTGTCAGAGTCAAGTCTCAAAGACTTATCTAACAAGCCCGTCTTTAGTCTCTGGCGGACCCGGCAACGGTCGCCGTGTGGCCTATGACATCATCGCCTCGCCATTCGGGAAGCGTTATACAAGAGAGAGGACTTGGGACTGTGTGTCAAAGGAGGAAGCTGTCGGAAAACGTCAGTTCCTGCCGATGTTAAAGTGATGTGCAATTGACACGGCACTTCATGAACCGCCCAGACTCTACTGAGTCCAAAAAAACCTGGAGATCTTTAGTCACGTCCAGCGGAAACGATCCCAAAGCCTCTTACAGCTGATTAACAACTTTTAAGAGCGCTGATTCAAGCTCACGCGAATGCTTGGAAAGATCAGGTCTCAGTCCAGATTAGATGAAGGATTCAGAGGCGTTTGCTGAATCAGACAGGTATGTGGCAGAAATAACCAATCGTGACTAATGTGCTTGTGTTCGGGTTTTGCATGCAAATATGATTTTTTTATTTTTTTTTGGTGTAGTCCTGTCCTAAAGGATGTTATTGCACAGATGTTGCTCTTTCATTAAGGTGAAGCATGTAGTTTATGCACCCCTAGTGGCATCTATTGGAATTGCCAGAATAATGACTGTTTTCAAACAGGTTTTCTAAACTCACCCCTTGTCTTCTATTGGTTGGACAAAGAGGTAGTTCCACC